TGCTTAAGCCACTTGCAAGTGAGTATTTATGTGAAATATATTGTTTTATTTTCATTGAGTTGTAGGACAATTATTTAGTCAATAGTGTCAGGAATATTGCACAAATCAGATCTTGAAGGAGATCAACATGTTATTTTTTGTATACCTTCAGAAGCAAAGTAACAGATTAAGACGACAGAAGGAAAGGCTTAAATGTAATCAGAATGGCACTGCAAGTAAGAGGCTATAGAATAAATAGTGAATCAAAAGGACCCAAGAAAAAAGAGAAAACAATACATTCAAAGAAAATAGGTCCTGGTAGGATCTTGACAGCCTATAGTTCTCAATGCTGGATCATCTTTATTCACCTTCTACACATTTTCTACCCAGTTTTCATTACAGATTTGTCCATTTGTGCTTTAAAACCTCTAATGAGAGTCTTCAGCTTGCTTATGCAATTTATTACAGTGCTTAACTATCCTTACATAGAAAGTATTCCATAATTCCTAACTTTACATCCTTTTCATGTTTACATATTTTAGGTGATAAGCATAGAATTATTTTTAAAAGCAGAGCCTAAATGAATTCTAACTGAAGGGGATGGGTGATGAGAAAAGTCTTTAAACCAAACCATAATCAAATAACACTGAAACAAATAAAGCCTGCTTGATCTTTGTAAAAGAACAGAATATATAGTTCAATTTCTGGAAATGCAAAGTAGGGGAGACTGAGCTTTTCAAGATTGGTTTAGTTTTTTAATGCCATTCTGTGGGTTTTTTGGAACCATAGAGGATTTCTTGAGAAATTTTGGCATGTACTAGTATAAATTCAGTAACAGTATGGATTTATGATGTGGTGTGATTGAATGGCACCTCACAATATATAGAAGTTCATTTTAAGCCAGGAGGGACAGTTTATCAGTCTCAGGTTGTGACTGAAATATCTAGACTTCCTGGAACCACAGTTCTGACTTCTCCCAAGGTGATTGTCCTTCATAATTTTTAAAACTGTAGGTAAACTAAATACTATGTAGGTTACTGCAGTTACCTGATACTGAATCTCCATGTGGACAGGAATCCCGTAACACTTTTCATACATAATTTGGGAACTTACTTAGGGGAAAAAAAAGATCTCCCTTTTCTGCCTGTTGTTTTACAGTGCTATAACCTACTGTATTCCTAATCCGTGTTTCAGTGGTGCTATGTTATATATGTTATATATGTAACTGTAGATTAGTAATCATGGAGCCTTTAAATAAAATTATTTGTACAAGTTATTCTGAGTTTTCACTGTGGAACTTTGCATTAAGGATTTGCAAACACTGAGCAAGAGAGAAATCAGCATAATTTTGCCCACTTATTAGCATGGAAACAGAGGCAGACATAGGAGTGGTGACCTTGCTACAGCTGACTGGCTAGTCAGCTTCATGCCCCAGAAGAGCTTTGGTCTGCCACCTTCTTCAAAATTCCTTAAATTCCAAAATTCCATCCTTAGCTCTTCTGATAAAGCCTCAAGTGTTCTTTGTCTTTAGCACACCTCTGCACATTAAAAGTTGTAATATTTAGTGGCCTTGGCTTTCATTGTTGCCTGAGCCACATGATATAGTTTTATTAATATTTCCTCTAAATGGGTCATTGTTTTAGGAGCAGCTGTAAGTATCCAGTGCAATATATAAGGACATCTGTTGTGGTTTTTTCCTTAGAGCTGTGACAACCTCTGATACTGAGAAGTACAGACAAATTGCTAAATAACAAGTGTCTTCTGTGGCTAACTTTCTGGCTCAAAGTCTAATGGAGTGCAGTAAAGGCAAACAAGATACCTTTTGTGAGTTTTCAATTCTATAAATGGCAAGAGTCTTTGGAATTGAGATGATCCCAATAAGAAAAAGTCAAGCACATTGGAGGTTAGTAGAGTAAGAACTATGTCTACCTACACAAAAATCATGTTTTCCTGGAAAAGAACCATGTCTACCTACACAGTAATCACATTTCCATGAGCTAATTGACTTCTTCGTAGAAATAACATCTAACAAAGCAGAGGGTGAGTATCTCTTTCCAGATAGATATGGATTCTAAGCAAGGCAAGTACAGTGGAAGGCACAATGAATTCAAAATAAACAAACTGAATCAATTTTTAGGCAAGAGACTAAGAGATCTATCTTATCTAGGCTACAGTTTAATATGTACCTGTGCTTTTATCTTTCCTTAAGCCACAATGCAAACACTGGTAGCCATGAGCAAACCAACCACGTGGACAAGGAAAAGGCAGGAAAGTAAATTCACAGTGTCACAAACTGTTTAACCTGCATAATACAGGGGGGTGCGTGTGGGTGTGGACAGAGAGAAGAAGGCCCAACCGACTTTATGGAACAGTTCATTGATCTGCTTCTCCTTACTTTAAACATTATCTCTCTAAATCAAACTTATTCCATAGAAAAAAAAAACTATTTTGTTTAGACTGACATAAGGTAAAAAGATGATCTTTTGTCATCTGGAGAGTGGCCAGTTTTGTAAGAGACTAAGACATGTTCTCTGCCTTTTCTGATAAGGGACTTTATTTAAAACCACAATGTCATGCCATGTGGCATTATGTAATTGCCTAACAAAAACTATTAGATGTAGGCCCTCTGTTCTTATTTTTATATACATGTATCTACAACTAAGTTTCACAATCACTATAAACATTTGTATGTTTACTTGTATGTTTATTTGTATTTTGTTTGTTTGTTTCCCTACAGTAGAACTGCCCTAATTTAGATTATACTTGTGCACTGCCAGCTGCTCATTTGGAATTGGGGGAAAAGTTAGCAGGATCATTGAAACAATAAAGAGTCATTCTCAAACCACAGCAGAACCACCTCTGCAACATCCTCTTATTTCATTATCCTTATCTTAGTTCTCACTTCTTTTTTTTTTTTTTTTTCAGGGTTTGTGCTATATTTCAAGGTTGAACTAAGTGTGTTTGTAGTAGAGATCTCTTATACTTTGCATTTAGCTGTAACTGTGACAGAGGTACAGTCCATGTTAAAAACCACAAAATAACACCAGTGAATTCAATAATGGGATTCTAAAGATTTACACCAATCTGGGTTCAATCACATTAAAAAAAAAAAAAATTAACCTGTAGTCTTACCACAGGAATCCACAGGAATTCTCTTTAAGTGGAAAGAAAGTGAAGATAATTCAAACCTGTCCGTTTCAGATCTTGAGGTTATTTCAAAGCAAGATTGCCATCTTCCTGTCCATGTAAATCAACTTTATCTTCTTGAAGAGTTGCTTATTCAGTCAAGTCCAGAATGAGTCTGTGGTACACTTGAAATAGGAAACCAATCCCTGACAACATTGGCAGGATTTCCATCTACCTTAAGAACTATAGCTCAGAGATGATGTGGACTACTTGTACTCCCAGCCCAAGTCAAGGGATACTTTGGGACCAGTGAGGTATTTGAGAGAACTGCACCAGATCTGACTGTCAAACAGAGCGTGTTTGAATCACCACAGCACATATTCCTATAAAGTTTTTTTGGTACCACATGGTTAAGCACAACCTTAAGTACTGAGGTGTCATTTGAGAGGAACAATAAATCTTTCCAAGGTATGAAGTCAGAAGATTGTGGTGTTAAGGCATTCTTGGGATCTGTTCCAGGAAGTTTCTTCTACTAGGAGATATCTCTGCCTTGGATCAAGAGGTCTTTGTCCACAGAAAAGGGCCTCTTGTAGGGGAGAAAAGTGGTGCTACATTCGAAGTTGGAGAGTCTCTTCAAAAATAACAGGTGCTGGACCCAGGGAATAATTCACCCACTAGCAGCACACTCCTGGAGATTGCCTGCAGCAATATGCAGCCTTCCCCCCTTCAAGATCCAGAGGGACCCTCAGTCCTCAGAGTATGAGTGTCCATCATGAATGAGAATACCCACCTCATAAGAAGACTGGGTATAAATTAAGATATTTAAAATGTGTCATGTCTTGTATGACACGGAAACTCCTGGAACTGAACAGACTTTTCTGCCAGAAGCAAAAATAATTTTGCCTCTAGCTATATAATTAATGACTGATAAAGGTTGAGTGTGTCATGTTGGTTTCAGTGTTGTAGCCTGGGCAGGAAGAAAGAATTGCAGAGTCATTTCCACTCTCCTCTGCTTTATATACAGGGGACATGGAAAGCGGTGACCTAGTCTCAAATAACAGTGTCATCTTAAATGACTCCTGCGTCATCTGTACAGGACATGAATAAGGATGAGGAAAAGGCACTTAGACAAGCATTCATAAAAGAAAGATCTGTGTCATACATCTGAGTAAATGAGAGAAATCTGAAGAAAAATCTTCCTTACAAGTAATGTGGTTCAGCTTATCAGGGTATTGTGGTTTGAGCCCAGAGGGCAACTAAGCACATCATACAGTTCACTCACCCCTTCCTCCTCAGGAATGGGAAGGAGAAAATAAAGTAAAAGGCTCAGGAATTGAAATAAGGACAAAGAGGGGTGATTTATCCATTACAGTCACCACCAAAAGACAGACTCCTTAGGGGAAGAAAAACAATATTACTTTAATTCAAACACTATCAACAACAACACTTAACAGACAGAGTGGGACAGTGAGAAGCATTACCACAGCTTAAAAACACATTTCCCTCACCCCTCCCTTCTTCCAGGGCCCAGTTTCTTCCCAATCTCTCTACCTACCCCACTACCAAAAACTCCACCACACAAGCCCAGCACACAGAGTAAGAAAATTGTCTTCCTGCAGCAGTCCAGGCAACTTCAGTTTTAGAAAGTCAAAGTTTAGAGAGGACTGACTCAGTAAAACTTGCAAGGGTGAGGAAGAATTAAATACATTTACTTACTGAGGAAGCTTAAAGTCTTCTGGGTAATAAAAAGCACAAGCATATAGCACTAGCAATAAAGAAGCACAAGTACCACTGCTAGGCACTTCACTAGAAACAATTCTTAAAGCAGAGATTTACTTTAATAAAATGTGAAAAAATAAGAACTTTGCTCAGGTGCAAAATCCATCAGAACAAAATTAGTCAGGGACAGAAAATGGTAATGGGCTGATCACTTCCCCAGTTTCAGTCTCAATTGATTCATAAACCCATTCCCTATTGCAGCGACATACTGGTCCACATTTTCTTGAATTGCATTTGGGGCAAGGATAGAAGCAACCCTGACAGCTCTCTTCTAGGCAATCACACAAATCGAAGTTATTACAAAGCAGCCTGCCATGTTTGTCATACTTATTTTTAACTCTGCAAAAGAGAAGAAAAAGTGATTCTCAGAGAATGCTTCAAGATGTTCAAAGACTCAACCAAACAAATGTGAAAAACACCCAGTAACAAATATGTTCTCTTTAACAACCTCACAGTATAATGAAGTATCAGCATTATATCCTAATTGCAACAACCATTGTCCTTAAAAATGAAAGTACGGCAAGGAAGTAAATCAAAATACCCTTAAGACACACAGAAAAAGCGCTTTTTTCCCAGCACAGCTTTCATATGTAATAAGAAATCTCTCTGCAAAATATTAATGCTTTTATTCTTTTCATTTCTATTCAGTAGACAGCATGCCAGCCATTTTTTTAAAAGTAAAATATGTAATAAATTAGCACATCTTACTTGGGCTTATTAAAAACACCTTGTTTCATCTGTGACATGTTCATTTTCTTTTTCTGCTCTCTAGCTGCAGGATTGAACTCAGCCATACAAGGTCCTGGATTTTGAAAGCTTAAGTTTTTTAATTGTTTCTCAACTCTTTGCTGTAAATGAACAACAGAAAGTTTATAATTAGTACAATGTGAAAAAATATTTATTAGCTGCCAAATGTCCTCACTGGCTTTCAAATGACATTACTATTCTTGATAACTTAACATAGGTAGGAAAACAAAGCAAAACTCATCCTAAATTAACATCACCTTGTTTAAAATGTTTGCTACTCTAACTTTTAATTGAGTATTCCTTTGAACAACTATGAATCCTGACAGGAGAGGGAACAACCATGAGTCTGAATACATGTTACAGTGGCATAGAGTTTGAAAGTCTTGTGGGAGGCAGAATCATGTATTATTTTCCTTCAGCTTTATCCATAGTGTAAAAACAAGCACTATGATATAAGCATCTCAACTGGATTCACCCTTATCTTCACTATTCCCTCAAATGCCTAGAAACCATCTTTGTCCAGACAACCTGTGGACAAATGTCTGGAAGGAAGGAAGCATTTGCACAAGTAAGGAGTATGAAGAAAGCACAGACAAAAATAAAGAAGCTGAACTGAGCACAGTTTTTGAGAAACAAACTATTTTGTGGAATTTGTGTTTGCAGTTAGCTAAAACTACTGAATAGTGTTGGAGATTTAAACATCAGCTATGTGTATTGCCATTCCACTTAGCCAATATATGTTGACAGTCATGTCTAAAGTCAGTGCAAACAAACATGAGCATTGTATCAATTTCTCTTCAGTCAATGACTGTGGACATTGAATATACACTTGTTGTTGGGATTCAAGAGGGCTTTCTGCGAGAGAATGGACATGTGAACAATCCTGTGTGAGAACAAGACTGACAAGAGCCTCAGCCTGAGCAAGAATGCGATAAGGATGTGACCCTGAATGAGAGGGGAGAAACTCGACGAGACAAACAACCCCCAGAAAGGGGTTGGGACGGAAAAGGAAGTTACACAAGGCAGGAAGCCTGGCACGGCTGATGTGGCACTTTTTATCCAGTCATAAGGAGGTTTAAAGCACGGGCTAAGTTAACTGTTCAATCTTGAGGACTTGTACTGCATGTTATGTGTGCGGGAGAACATTATAAAAGGGCTTTCTTAGTGGTAATAAATGGGCATTGCTTGATCACAATGGTCGTGTGCATGCTCTCCCGCACACTTGTCATTCATTATGCAAAGGCACAAATATACATGCAAATTTATCTTTTCTCCTCTTAGGTAAATGGAACTGACTTGCCATCCTTTGACTTCTCTGGCAGGTGTTATTCCTTCCAGAGTCCACAGTGATTTTTTCACAAACAAGTTAGTGCCTTCATTTCTCCTCATGGGGAAGGCAGTGGCCTTTCAGTCAAATCTGCTGATGCTGTGATTTAGAAATATCTGTCCATTTAAGTGCACTTATTTACAAGGTGGTTCATGCTATGCATCTTCAGTTGCATTCTCCTGAAAAACTATAGGGCAATTCCATGCACGTGCATTATTCAGACATTTTTGCTTTTGTATCTGGGGTAGATTTCTAACGCAGAAAATATGCTTCAGATCATTGTCCATGATCATAAATTATGCAATTTCAAGTTGGAAACAAATAATGAGCTATGGACATAGTCATGCCTCTAAGAGTATTCTCCTATTTCCCTACTTACTATTTCATTTGAGCTTGGGAGTGCTCTTAGCCCTCTAAATCACTGCACTGCAAACTTGACTCATTTCACTGCTGTTATTACTAATGTTTCCTTATTGACTCCAGCTTTTTATTTTTGTAATTATGGAAGAAATTGAAAGCAATGGTAAGTATTTTGATAATAAAAAGGTACTGGAGAAGTCATACCAATTGTTTTTGTTGTACTGAGCAGTCCTTTGCAGGAGAGACATTTCCTTCTGCAGATGTTTCCTGGGCAGAATCTTTTTTCTTGCCGTGTTCTTCCACTTGATCACTCATTTGACCAACTATGTGAAATACACAGATACATATGTGTTAATATATACACAAAAAGTGTGAGATCCACAGACTTTTAAGCGAAGGCTTTAAGGTGAGCAGGTGAAATATATATATATATATATATACATACATTCATACATACATACCAGGCGCTTATGTATACTTAACCAACAGCAAATGCAGAAAAAAATGTGAGTCAGTATCAGCCTCAATTTTAAAACTATTAAAATAAGTAACATAAACAAAAGCTGTATCACTCTATAATTGGTTAAGCAAATCTCGGAAAATCTCTAGTGTTTGAATGACAAAGAATTTGTAAGAAATGCCGTCATCTCTGGATCTGTTACTGCCACCACTTCATCGCACTGTCACCTTTAACGTAAAGGTGAGAAGCGGTATGCTTTACAGAACGCACAAAAGCAATCGGCGATATGCAATGGAAATGAAACCACTCAGGGGCAATAATTTCTCTTACCAGAAGGTGACACTATTGTCCTAGCTGCGATGCATTTTGCAAGGTTCCGAAAAGTAGTGGCAGCCGTGGGTGGAAGGGGGAGCAGGAGGGGCCTGGGTATATTCTCTCTTGCATTACCCATAGGCACCCAACGTGTGTGTCACAGCTGTGACCATAACAATTAGGCTATTCTCTGCAAATTCACAATTTTCTTCCCGAAGACTTCAACCAGTGGACTAAAAGTAAACTTCTTGGCTTTTAAATCTCAGCCCTTAGCTTTGAGAAAGATTTTGTGTATAAATAGAATGTGCAATATTTACATTCAACAGAAAAAAATTGCATCACACACCATGCTAACAAAGCACCCAGGGAGGACAGTGGGTTCAGTGAGTCTGTCCTACAAATGCCACCCATCACCTCTCCTCCGTCACACAGAAATGGTGGTGGCAACTGTTTAGGATGGATGTTAGCTACTTCTTCTTACCCATCTTGTGAAGCTACTTAGTTAAAACTTTTTATGCAATATATGCAGTTACAGTACCTCAGACTTTAACCACAAGAAATATTTAAGCTTTTGTCAGGGTTTAAACCAGGCTGGCAGCCAAACACTGCACAGCCACTTACCCTCCTGCCACCCAGGGGATGGGGGGAATTGGGGGCATAAAAGGAGACTGATAGGTTGAGATAAAAACAGTTTAACATTTGTAATAAAATAAAATAACAATAATAGAAAATACAAACAGTTAACTCACGTTGTTTGCTCATCACCCACTTACTGATACCCGGCCTGTTCCTGGCTAGCAATCCCAAAATGCCAAGATCCCACAGTTACAATCCCAGAAGCGAGAGAGAACTCGTCCTCCTGGCCACCTCTTCTTTATATAGTGAGCATGATGTTACATGATATGGAATATTTAATTGGCCAGTTTGGGTCCGGTGCTCTGGCTGTGCTCCCTTCCAGCTCCTAGTTCACTTGCGCACCAGCAGAACACAGGCAGTTGGAGAGTCCTTGATCTCTTAGCTACAAATGAAAACACTGGTGTATTATCAGCATTCTTCTCATAGCAAATCCCATAATGAATCGACAACAGAGTGCTGTTGTACCTATCAAGAAGAAAAAAAACCAACTCTATTCCAGAGGAAACCAGGGCAGCTTTTTTGAAGTTCCTTCAAACCTTCCCCAGGTGCTTCCCAGTCTCACCCAGTGTTTCTGAAAAGTAGTGCAGTGGTCTCTGCCAGGTTACCCTTCACTTTAGGATTGTTGCCCAAACCCTTTCCCAGAGAAGATCTTCGTTTTCACCACTGAAAAAGGGCCAGCACCTCTCTGAGAGAAGCAGGAGAGGAGTCCATGCCTTTAGTTCCCTCTGTTGCAGCTTGTCCCTGCAAGGTGTCAGTTAAAGTGGGACTAGCAATGAGAATGAAAAGACCTTGTATTAACAGGAGGGGATGCTTTTTTGAGAGGTAAGAAGAACAGCCTTCAGACTGTTTCAGAGACAGTTTCCCTTTCTCCCCTTCAGTGACCCAAAGAATGACTGAGATTGTGACATTGTTCACAATGGGATGCTCTACAGCAACAGTTCCTGTCCTGGGACTTCTTAGGATTAGGAAAGGGAAGCTATTACTGGGCAATTAATATTTGCTGTAAGGGTGATCCTCTTTTCTACTGGAAATTTGCTTGAGACCCAGAAATAAAACAAAAATGAAGATCACTGCTCCAGAGAAAGTGGGTATTGCTCTTCATTTGCACTCAGGTTGGAGTTCTGACAAGAATTTACTTCCTACATCTCCTCTGGTGCCCATCCACGCATCCAGCATTATTAAAGCACTTTGTGTGAGTACACATGACTATCATCCATGCATGTTTTATTACAGTGTGAGAGGTTCAGGAGCAGAACAGCCATCATCAGTGTAAGCAGAACTCCCACATGTCGTCTGGTTGTGTAAATAATGTGATTGCTTTGGAAACTACATCCTAGCAGTCATTTGGAACCAAACACCCAAAACCAGAAGTCACTTTTTAAATACTGCAGAAAAGAAGCAAGCATCTTGTTCCAAACGCCCTTGAACCTCAGTGATAATATCCTGCACAGAAAGCGTAGCATATTTCTGTCTCCATATATACTGTAAAGATAAAGCATTTCATTTTTATCTCCAGGGAAGATACTAAAAAATGAGTCAGATTCAGAAACTGTTAAGACTCACAGGGCTGATTATCCTCCATAGAATATTCTGAAAGGGGATAGGGGAATGAGGAACACTCTGAGACTCATTCACTCTCAGGTCTGCAGCACCTAATTATCCAAAGAAACATATTCTTGGTCCTGAAGCAGAGTTTTTTATCTACTGGTTTTGGTCTGTCTGCAGTGATAATTCAGGGGTAATGCACTAGTCTCTTCCATAAAAATTTCAACTCTGAGGAAACCATCAACTACACTCTTCATCCACCAAAACCTGTGTTCTCACACACCTTTTGAATACAGCAAGTATTTCCTGGAGGCAATCATCCACATGTCAGCATCCCACTGTGGCCATAGTGTATGGCTGAGAACTGGCAATTTCAGCAACAGACCCTTTGGCACAGCTGGCTAGGCTAAAAGCAGATTAAGGGAGGAAGAAAATCAGACTGTCTTATATTAGGTATAGACTTGGTCTTATCCAAGATGTTTCTGCTTACGAAACAGTTTCAGATGTTGGGATTAGGAAGGAACTGGAGGTTTTTATGACTTTCATAAGAAATATTTTCCTATATCTGCTTTTTTCAAGAATTTAATATTCCTATTCATGATCCTTGAAGATTGCACTGCTAAATATTTCAGCTGGTGTGAAATGTTGCAACCACCATTTTAGATACTTCAGGCTGCTTGATCTCAGCAGACCAAGGTTAATATCTCTGCAGGGCTTGCCAGAGTGAATGCACATCATTTTCAAGTTGTATTTGTGCGTGCCATTAGAGTCTTTCGGGCTGAGATCTGCAAGCGTGTTCATCACCTCCACCAGGGCAAGACAAGATTCTCTCTTTATGTCTTTAATCCCCATTCACCCACATGGATAAAACTGGCCCATTGCATTAGATTAATCTTCTTCATAGCCTAGTTCTGCAGAGATTTGTGGGCTCAGAAAGCAGCAGTCAGGTTTGTGGCACTTTCAAGTATGCATCGTTAAATCTCTGTAGGACATCTGGTGCCAGCCAAATTAAGTGTGAGAATAAGTTAATCTTTCTCAGGATCATCTATGGACTGAGCTGTAAAGAGTGAAAAGGCCAATTACCAATTGCTTCATGCCTCCTCTCATAGCCCCAAATGTGCATATGAGTTCAGAAGATGGCCTTGATGCCAGCTGAGAAACAGATCGGATGAAGAAATAGGTCTTGTCTCTTGTAACTCAGCTGTTTTCCCAGAAAACTGATAAACATGGTGACAGAAAAATGGCCCATTCTGTGACAGGAGTCTAGAGGACCAAATCCTGCCCTCTCCCAGTAAAATAAAACAAATCCTTCTGAGTCTTCTCTCCCAAACACAGAGCCTTTCTGCTGTATCTGGAAGTGAGGGATCCTTTAGCTGAAATCTAAGAGATGATTATTAAATCATGTGCATCTTCTGGTTGTCATGCAATAGGCAGAGAGATCTACCAGACTTACCTTCTGAAAACCTGCAGTTCTGAAGGTTGTATGTTCAGTTCAGAGCAGACAACAAGATAGAAAGAAGATTCTCCAAAATTTCAAATTGTACTTACCAAAGCAATGGGCAGGCACAGCATAGGTTTACTGATGCACATTTCCTCTGATAGTGGAGGTGTATCAGCCCCAGAGTGACTGAAACAGAAGACAAATAATCAAAATAGTGCTCCCCAGAGAAACAGGCTGAAGACAGTACCAGGTAACCATCTTAAAGGACCTCACATTTTTTGTCTCATTAATTATGGCTTTTAAATAGTACTTAGCACAAAGAGTGGAAATAATGATATCAACTGGAATGAGAGTCCTCATTTATTACCTGCATGTGTGGTAGGTTCAGAGAGCAAATGTATTAGAGCTGTTTTTCTTAAAAGTAAGTAAACAAAAAAAACCTGTAATAACTGCTACGATTTACAAATTTTTTTTTTTTTTTTTTTTTTTTTTTAGGACATGGATATAGTAAAGGAATATTTTACTGCTTTAAATAAAATGTTCTGGATTCTGTTTGCCATCTCCAACAGTCAAAAGTCATCAAATAAATTGCTGAAGTGACAATGCAACCTCATGGCTCAGCTTGCTGCCTTTTCAGGATTGTTTGTTGCACTAGTGGAGACAACTCAGGATCCTCCTGGTATCTCCACATGCCAATTTCCAGCATGCTGCAATCATTTAGGACTTTCATTATTCTTCCCTAGAACACAGCTAAATCCTAATAAACATCCAAAACTGTCAAGTCTTATAAATTCTCCTGTTGTGCTTAGACAAATAGTCCAACACATCTTTTAGTCTTCGTCAATTATATCTATCCATTCTGTGAGGTATTTCACAACCCAGTCTGATGGCAACTAAATTTCTTATTTACTATACTATTTT